GACACGTTTCAGAAAGGCGGGGCATAGAGGAGAAACAATAATGTACATTATGTGGGAAATAATGTGTTTTTTTTAACCTTAAACTGCATAAACATTGCATTACACCAAATACACAACCTAATGTTCTTTTTAGCAACGTCATATGACCCCTTTAAAAAAACTGTTTTCAAAAGTTTGCATTTTCAAACCCCCCAAAAGGCGTTGTTGTGTAAATGACTGGCCAAAACGCATACGTTTTTTGTTGAAAATGGTGTCTTGTAAATGCCTCTTAAACCAGGGGTTTTCAAACCTCCCCAGCACTACACATTTTGAATGCAGTGCTGGTGAGGCTCCATGGAGAGCTGGAAAAATCCTGCCTTAAACCAACTTATATGCATCAAGAAGATGGCATGCCTCTTAAGGAAGGAAGGCTGAACCAGGTATACCTTTAAGAGGCTCGTTCTTCACTTTTATAGGGGTGCCCTGCTTACTGTCGAGGCCGCTTAGTTTGGCTCTTTTAGCCTCCATCCTCCTCTTGTGTGCTGATTTGACGGGCTCTGCCAGCATCCTCACTTCTCTTGGGAAAGAAGAGAGGACCTGCATTGCCCCAGACTTTATCTTGGCCCACTGGCCCTCAGCATGGCCAAACTCATCCGTGTCAGAGATCTTGTAGAGCGGCAGGACGTGCAGCTGCTCATCCTCTGGAATGTTCCGCACTGCACGGTTATCCTCCTTGGTTAAAGTGCATACCTGTGGTTCACATGAGGCAAATGCATCTCATTTATCTCATTTAGAAAATGAAAAAAAGTATTAGAAGGACATTGACATTGATAGTGGAAGTGAGACTCACCACAGTGCTTCCATTGGTCATGTTTTGTGTGTCTCTGTGGGCATGAGCACAGAAGTCCACACATGCAGTCACACCAGAGAACGGTCGACCTTCACTCCTGCCCAGCCGACAGTCCTGCCCCTGCTGCTCCTGCTCCACCTGACAGGTTACAGATCATTATGATGCTTTCCTTACAAATGTACACAGGGCTCAGTCTTGGATGCTACAGAAATATCAACATAATCGCATAATCGACTAAATAAGCTAACTTTTTTTTTTTTTACTGTTGAGTTCAGCTTTAGAGCAGTTTTAACATTGTGAGAGATTGTGACATTTT